AACGAAGGGCTGAGCAGTTTGTGGCTGAGGCGGGGCGGAGCGGGGTCTGCGGAGCTCACTCCCCTTCCTCCTTGATGCGTTGCTGTTTGTTGCGCCGGGCATCCATGTCGAAGTTGAAGTCGTTCCACTCGTCGCGGGGTGGGAAGGAAATGGTCTGCCGGAGCGTGAAGCGGACCGCGTCGATGACCCGCTCCCCACGGGTCTCGCTGGAGCCCACGCTGACAGTGGAGGCGCCGCTGGGGGTACGCAGGAGGTGGGGAGGGGAGGAGAAGTCATGGAGCTGCCGGTGGTCCAGGATGCCCTTCCAGATGGCATGGCGGAACTGCTCCGGGATCTTGAGGCTCACCAGATCCTGCAAGGCAAGGAACAGGGCTTAACGGGGCAATCCCTGGGCAATCCAGGGGGTCTGGGCTCCGGTAGAAGCAGCCTCTGGGCCACCCTGCAAATGCTTAATTATTAACCCACGGTGGCTGTGATGCACTACAGAAGACAAGCCACTGATCCTGAAGGTGGTGGTTCACTGGCTCACCACTCCTGAACAAGTATGTGTAGCTGAGAGGCAGCAAGGACTGATGACACAAGGTCCCTTTGGAAGTGACACATTCATGCATAAGATATGATGACCTAAAGCTAGAAGTTTAACTGGACTGCAAGGCCTCCAAAACTCCTTTGAAGAGTTCTACTGGTTGTCTGTGGAGGGGGATGCTGGACTGCAGAAGTTCAACAGCTTTGAAAAGTTCACTGTTCATTTAAAAGCCTGCAAGAGGATTTTAGAATTAAAGTTTTGGCTCCAATATTCAAAGATCTGGGTCTGACTCTACAGAAACTGCCTAAATGACTTGAACAAACAAAAGTTTAAGACAGAAACCTAAGCTTGTAACATTTGGATTTTGAGGCCCCATCAACCTCTGCGGGTACTGTACTCGAGGGCAGCCTTACCTAACTCTGGGAAATGTGACATTGGCTTTTGAAAACAAGTTAGCAACCAGCTTTGGTTAATGTGGGTCAGCTTTTCTAATTAGAGTATCAGCAGAAGGAAGGCAGCCCAGCCTAGGAAGCATCACAGCCTTGCAAAGTCTTGGGGCAGAAAAGGGAGAGCCAATCTCTGGAGAGCAGCAGCACAGGATAGAAGGGAGCAACCCTGCAGCAACAGCCATGCAAGAGAAAAGGCAGCTGGGCCAAGACATCAGTGGCAAGGGAAGATTGTTAAGGTAAGTCCAGAAAACAGAAGCAGGGAGGGGAAAAACGCAGACCACTTCTGGACAGCCTACTTGTCTGCAGGCGAGTGAGGTGTTTCAGAGGAGCATAAACTGAAACCAAGCCTTGCAGATTTAACAGGCGTGTGGGCTGGGGCCACTTTGGGGACTAAAAAGGACAGCAGTGGGGAGGGGGAGATGCACTTTCTCTGTGCCAGGCAAGGTAGTTACAACCACCAACTGGCACCGAGTCCAGCCTCTACACCTCCCAGTAAGTTTTCTGTGGTGTGCAACAGCCTTAAATCAAACTAATCACATAAAAAAAATACTGAGTCTGGATTTGACCTGTTTCTACAGCAGGGCCAAGGCTGCAAACAAAGGAAATGGTGAGGAGTTACTTACATCCATGGAGTAATGCTCAATCTGATAGATGGTGGTCAGCCCCTGGGTCGTGAAATAATCCACACAGGATGAGCAGCCCAACCTCGCTAAGAAGCTGCAGAGGAGGAAGGAAGGAAGGAGAGAGAAAAAAGGATCACCCTGGCTGCAACAGCCCAAACCACAGAAAAACCAAACACTAAGCCAACCTGCAGCAACAGAAAATGAAGCTTTTACCCTTGGCTTGACCTCCTCCAAGACATCCCAGGCCAGCAAGCCACATCGCTGCCACACCAAACAAATGAGGGAGTCCTTCAAGCTTGGCTCCTAGTAGACAACCCTCATGGCAGCACCTTGCCTTAGCCGAAAGCTGGTGCTGCATCCCAGATGTCAGGGCAGGAAGGCTCCCAAAGACCTTCTTGCCAGGTTGACCCAGAACGTAGCTGAGCCCATGGCAGCATGCCACATAGACAGAGGGCTTCACCAAGGCGGTTGGTCTGGGGCTCAGACACATCATGCACCCACAGTACTTCAAATCATCACGTTCCTCTCTAAGTATAAAGGATCGTGGGGAGCATTTTTCAACCTGTTTGACTTCATGGAGGGCAGACGAGCTGCATCTCTAGGGAGGCTGGTTGTACTTCTGACCCCAGCCACAGCTTGCTGCATGGCCACAGAAGAAAAAAATACAAGTGTCAGTATAAAAAAAAATAGAAAAAAATCTGCAGGACTCCCTGGCTTATTTCAGGGTGCCCTCTGCTCCACCAGTCCAGCAGATGCTGTATCCCTTGGCTTTCTTGCAGTCCTACTGTCCCTGTTTCTCTCAGCTGCTCAGAGGTGGGGGGTTGAGGCTCAGGGCCCAGAGGGTGGCCCAGCCTCAGGCCTGCCAAAGCCCACTGGATGCAGAACTCCAGGAAAACGGGGTGAGGGACCTGGCAGGGGCTACTCAGGCTCCCGGCACGAGGCCTCTGCTCCCCATGGGTAGGAGATGTGCTGGGAAGCCTGCTCCTGCTCACCTGACAATGCTGCAGTCTGTGGGGTATGGAGGAGGGGGAGTGCAGTGGGACGTTGAAGGCATGGAGAGGGGAGGAGGCAGCGCCTGCGTGGGGCTGAGGCCATTCATGTCGCCGGTCATGGCCATGTGGGTGCCCATCATGGGAACTGGAGGAGAGAAGGAGGAGCACATTGTTACCGAGGCATCCCTGCACCTCGCCTCACCCCCAGCACAGCGCAGCCCACAACCCAAGCAGCCTTAAACCCTCACACAGAGGAAGCTCACAAGGAATTTAAGGCAGGGCCCCAATGACTGCACAAGGACCAGATGACAGACAGTCCTGCAGGAGCTCTCCCCTTGCCGAAGCCGCTGCTGGCAGCGCTGCCTCTGCATCACCTTCCCTTACAAACAGGCTCTGTAGAAACCTAAGCAAGCTGTGGGCATCTCATCTTTCCCTGCTGCAGGAAAGGAGCAGGACTGAGCCAGCAGAGTAACCCAATACAGAAGCCAAACAGCTTTGTTTTCAGAGACACTGAGCACCCGAAGGGGATCAGCAACAGGTGTGGGCGAGAGCCCAGCGCTTTTGAAATTAAAAAAAAGCAGCACTTCTTAGCCCCCAGAACCATGTCTGTCATCCTGGATTTACAGGGCTGCTGGGCACTCTTCAGCAGCCAGGAGGAAACAGGTTACAGAGCTGGGAGCTGCAGACGTTTCCTTTGAAACTAAGAAGCGTCTTAATTGAAATGAAAGAAAGTTTGCCAGTGTTTCCATCTCCTCTGCTGGGAAGGTCTTTAAAGACAGACAACAGTGCTGCCAGCCAGATTTGCAGCGTGAAGGAGCTCTGTTCACCCCTGTGAGGCTCAGAGAAGGATGCTGAAGCCCGGAGAAGACTTGCCCCATGGCACAACAGCACCTCAGAAATGTCCAGTCTCCTTCCCCAGACCAGCAAGGAGCATGCATGGAACAGAAGAAGGAGCAAGGGTTTCTTACTGTTGGTTCCCATGCCGTCAGGGATGGTGGTTGGGGTCAGGGCATTGCGCTGCTGGGGGTTAATGAGCTGGCTGACCGAGGGCAGCTTGTTCATGCTGTTCATTTTGCTGAGCGGCGGCGAGTTGGAGCCATAGGACGACTGTGACTGCATGGAGGTCCTGCAAAGCAAGGAGATGTTACAACAGGAATCACAGCATTTGATTAACAGTGCACATCCAAGGGGATACACGTTTTGTTTGTAGCAGGGTGAGGTCCTGCTAGCAAAGTCACCGACACTGTGGGAATGCTGCAGCTAAAGATCATCAGCGAGAGTTAACATGAACTAAGCATTTTCCCCACATATTCTAGGAATTTGAAGAAACAACGGTGCAATGCTGAAGAAAAAGGGCAGCTTTGCTTTTGGCTCAGATTTTGTATTTAAAGAAAAGTTTCTACATTACTTTTTCAGTTGAAGAGAATATCCCCAAAGCCACCACACAGCTGCCAGGGCTTGGAAAAATGTTTTTCAAGCTCTCTTTGTGGTCAAATGTTTTTTTCCTAAGAACAAGAACTAAAAAAAGCTATCTCAAACCATCCTAACTACCCCTAAATCTGACGGCAGTAGCATTTTCAGATCAAGACACGTTTATCACCTTGGTTCCTCCAAAATTCAATTTTTCATGTAATCAGGCTGTTATCATGTCTATATGAAACCAGAAGACAGACTCCACACACCTTAGGGAATGGACACCTAGATGCAACTTTTGTTGGCATTAAAAAACCTGGTATCCAGACCTCCAGACCCCACAGGCTGCTTGCAGAGAGTATCAGATTCCTGTAACTTTCCAACAACACCGTTGACCTCCCTCAAGTCCAGACAACCCCCAGCACCATCCCGCATACCCCCGAACTGGGCCAGAGACTTGCTGGCAAGCTCATCCCTCCCCAGCCCCGATGGTCCCAGCTGCAATCCCACCTCGTAAGCGATCCGGAGCATGAAAACTGGGCTGCTTCTGAACGGCAGCCCAGCTCCGAGCTCAAGTTACGGCTGCGGCATCCCATTTGGAGTGGGGTCTTAGTCGGAATATGCAGAACATGACCATTAGAGCCCAACAGCACGCTTGGCAGGGCGCTGCTGGGCTGCAGGAGAGCAGGTTCTCTCTCTGCACACCAAGGGAGCTCACAAGACTGGGCAAAGACACTCAGGAAGCGGGCACGCTTCCCAAACACGACATAACCCTTGCACAAGCCTCCTTGCTGGGCTTGCAAGGAGCCCAGCGCCCATCTGGCCATACCAGAGTGACCCCGTGGTGAGTGAGAAAGGGCACATTCCCATCTGATTCCCCATTGAGAAACTCGTTCGTCTGGGTCTAACTGGCTACGCCAATTCCTGGGAACTGGCTCTCCTTCTATGCAAAGGGAATAGTTATTAAAATAAGCAAAGTGTAAAGGAAAGAAAAGGCTTATTCTTGGGTAATTTATTAAAACCTTCAGCACTCAAGGTCAAGTTCCATACAATTACATCGTCTCCAGCTTCCTGCACTTTTTAAAACTTGTAACGTTGGGTGGAGAAACATCTATGCTAACAGGCTTGAATATCTAAGGCCCCGAAGAAATGTTACTTAATTACACAATTACAGGAGGTGCAGAAGGGTGTGAACTGTCCTTTGGCAGTGAAGATGCAGGACAAGATCCAGCAAACTTCATAGACTCAAGGAAGTGGAAAGCAGAAGCAGCTTCGCAAATTAATATTAATGATGGCAGCAACTCCCAGGGGGAAGTGAAACTGAGCCACGAAGTTCAGGCCCAGCTTTTCAGAGCGAAGGGAATTATTCAGATCGGAGGTTTCACTTCAGCAATTATAAAAGTTGAGGCCAGTCGTAAGATTCGAGTCAGACGGACACTAGCCTTAAGAGACCTCTAGATTTCGGACTAGAGTTAATAATTCTGCTTTGCAAGTTCAGGAACCTAGACTAACTGAGCTTCAGCTGAAATTCATACACACCTGAAGAAGTCCCTTAGGGCAAAATCTGCATGCCATGCAAGTGGGGAGGTCACCGTGTACAACAGCCTCCACAGTGAAATTCCAAATGAAACCAACAAAGGCTTCCCAAAAGAGATTTATTTTCACTATTTAAGTTCAGAGCAGGTTTTATTTTAGAGAGCTCATGGCTCTAAACACTTTTTTTTTGGATACCTGTCAGTACAAAACAAGGTTCTGCAAGAAGGTCAGTAGTGGGCCTAATTTTTCTCTCAATGCCACCAAGAATGATCTCAACAAAACTAGTTATGCTCCTGCAGAACACTGGGGGAAAAAAAGTGAACAAGAGCCAAAAGCACCCTGTGGAATACGAAAAAAATACATACTTCCACTTACAGCTTAAGGACTCCATTCTCATCTCTTTCGTACTCATAAGAATCAAGATTAGCTCTATTAAGACAATTAAACTCATGTCAATGAAACAGGACAGAAACAAAAGCATTTTTCTTTATACCCATAATCTTTTATGCTGAACTATTCAGTCACATAAGCAGACATGAAAGGTCTAGATAAAGCCATTTAGCCAAAGAAAAGTCCCAAGATAAACCAAGATGCAAAATTTTATTCAAAATTAATGTCACACATCAATATAGCAACAGCCTCAGAAACACAAGAAAATGTTTTTGGTATTAAACACACAGACTACATGGTGTTTTGAGGATTCATTTAAAATATATTGCTTTTTTCTTTTTTTTTTTTAAAAAACAGGTATTATAAGAATGTCATGCACAGTGATTTTCATTAAAATTATACTTACTATATCTCAAGAAAGATTAGAAGTAGGAGCATTACCATTTCTTTGATATCAATGCCAGCAAAACACATTTTAATATCAAGGTATAAGGACTTCAATTAAGAGACTATTATGCTTCTTGGAACAGTCTGATACAAAAGGCACTGAGTCACATTCTGCAACTGATTTTTCTCTCTTCAAGAGGCTATGTAATTATTTAGCCAATAACATTTGTAGTTATGCAAGCTCATATGAGGGCAATCAACTCTCACGCTTCAAGGCATATACTGATCATCTCAAGAGGTCAGGAAGGAACTTACTCTCTCCCACATATGAAGCACAGTTCAGTTCACAGGTTACCTTATATAAATCTGTGTTTTCCCAGCTCACTGGATACCAGCCCTGCACCAGAGGTAGAAAACTGCTTGGATAGACCAATTACCTGATTCAGTAGACAAGTCCTTGAGTCCTCATTCACATTAGATGAGCACACCATAATGTAAGCAGTCTTTATGCAAATGACGAAGGTTCAGTAAGTGCAGGAGTAGAGCAGCTCAGGGTTGGAGAGTTCAAGATCTCACCCGAGCCCCTGTGCCTATGGCTTGCTATCCCTGAAAACTTAAGAGCTAGTTGCAATGCAGAGACCGAGGAAGAATTGAAGCTGCTCAGTTCTGGGCCTGCTTTTCCTTACAGCGGCCAGAGCAAGTGCATCAAGGTTTACATGGCAAGTTCATACATGGTCTATATGCCCAGTGGCAATTCTTTTTCAAGTAAGGTTGCCTACTGCATTGCATAACTCTGGGATGTCACTGATGCACTCCAGTAATGGCACAGAAGGGACAGATGATGCTCGGCTGCACTCATCACTTAGAGCTCATGAAACCAGACACTAAAAAGCAACACTAAAAAGCAACACTAAAAAGCAGAGAGATGCCTTTGCTCTCCACATCTCAAAAAGCTGCAGTTCTGTAACTACCAATAGTGCATCTTTTCAATTGCTCAAGTGATCTGTGTGCTTGGTAGCCAGCTGGGAGCATGGAAAGGAGGAGCTCTGATGATGGTCACTAGGCAGGCACCAGCTACAGCACCCGGCAAATGGTAGAAATAATTCCCTTTACATTTCAGGTACGGGAATTTCCCAAGGCAAACAGTGAATGAAGCTTACCCTTCAGGGAATAAAGTTATGATACAGGGAGCAGACATACATTGACTAGTTGATAAAGACTGATACAGCCTGGGTGACTGCTAAGGACCACTTAATCCACTCAGTTATTCCTTGAAAGGAAAGAGGTTTACTTTTTTGAAGCACCAGAGATGAAGGATCAAAAGACAGTTGAAGGCTGGTGGCATTTTTCCCCCAGCTGCAGAGGACAGACTAAAAGGCAACTCTAACTCTTCCAGCTCCAGGTTACTTAATGGAAAAAGCTACACTTTCAGATAATCACCTAGTAGCTGAAGAGGAAACTGAGTCGCCATTAAGACCATTTTCATAAACATCCTCTTAAAAGTAAAGAATACAAATAGGAAAGACATCCCAGAGGACAGTGGGATCCAAATAATTCAATTGCTTGTTTGGAAATCCCAGGTGCTGCATTGCCCACAATGGTACACAAGAATTCCCACAGGTCAGACCACAGGACAACTGGAACATGAGCTGGGATCTCCTGATGAGGGGCTGTGGGTGCCTCACACCTCCTGATGGTTTGCTTCCTCAAACTGTCTAGTGGGCAGGCCCTGGAGTAGAGTTCTGATTGACATTAGCGTACCCCTATCCCAGTATTTCCATATTGGCATCCCCAAGCAGACAAAACCAAGATCCAGTGACGAACTTGTGCTGGAAAGACAGACTGATATTGCCAAACATAATCCCACATTTACGTTGCAGTTGAGGTTCAGATTCCCAGCTCCCACATGGAAAGGAGGGGTATTGCCTTTCTTCTCCCAAATAAAAAGGCACAGTAGTATCTTTTCTGTGATCTTGAAACTCTTCCTAGAGTTTCCAGACAAAGTAAAGAGGCACTTGATTTGTCTAACTTTACACGAGGAACATTGGTAGAACTGCAACTCTATGAATAGTCACTGCTAGCATTTACTTCACTATTTATATTTAATCACATTTCCGGGGGGCTCTTCTGCATCAGCCCTCCCCTATGGTAGAACAGGTCTTGTTAAGACAATGCAGGAGATATCCAGAGATGGAATACAGCTCTCAAGAGATTTCAGTGCGAGTCATCACCTGCTCAGATCACAGCTCTGCTGCCTGGAAGCAGATGATGTGATGTTCAGAGATAAGAGTCTTCTCCCACTGCATCAGGCATTCTTTCCTTGGTGGGTGGCCAGGAGGCCCGCTCTGCATTGGAAGGCACCTCCTCTTCAGGCTGTGCCTAACCACAAGTGTGTCAGTGCTTGGTATGCACCTGCTCCAAACAAATCCAGCATCAGTTGAGCTGCAGGCATACAGGTCCCCATTAGCATCGATTCAGCCACCGACTTGCTATTCTCATGGGCTACTGATCGCTGGCATTTGTGTCTGAGCTCTGCTCCCCAACCACTGCTGATCTGGGCAAACACCAGCATGCAGGGAGCACCTTTCAATAAGTTCTTCATATTTCTATCTCCCACAGCCATGAACAGCAGCGGGTTCCCCCAGGAAAGATGCCACTGCCTGAGAACATAAGTCAAAGTACACTTCTCTACCAGCATTAGCTGTTGGTTTTCATGTGAAGACAAGCCACAGCAAGCAGCATCTTGGCAGCTCCTTCCCCAGCTCCAGTATGTGCTCCTCGAGCCACAATCAGCGATGCCAGTTTAATTCCATAGTGTGTTACTTGCCTGTTCATCATTCTTCCTTCATGCTGATCTGGGGTTGACACTTAGAGATGAAGCTTCTAAAGGATGCAAATCCACCTTGTCAAGCCCCATTACAAACAACTTTCAGAGGCAGAGTCTGACACAAGCAGTGCGAGGATTTACAAGCCCTTGCTGAGAAAGTCTCCTGCACAGGAATTGCTAAACCAGTCTATTTATGGACACAAAAAGCAAGAACAATGGCCACTGACTGCAAGATTAATGGACAAGATGGGCATGGCTTAAGGCCACTTGGCTGAGTCAACTGCAACATATGCTGGCACTGCTTGCCTTTGAACTGAGGTCTGTAGTGACTGGGTAAAATGTAATAGGCTTAATGCGTGCTCCAAAGCAATATGGTGCAAAGTCAGACACCGTCATTCAGTCTTCCCTACAATTTTGATGCATTTTAGATCAGACCTTTTATGATTAGAAATAAAGGGAAACAATTCATGACACCAAATTGGTGGGTATTTCTACAGGAAAAAAAAATTGATTTTATATCTAGTGCCAATATAATTACTACCTCCCTCTGTCCAGCAGTACAAATACTTCATCTACTTGCACTATTACTGCATAACTGGCATTAAAACAGGCCCAACTGATTACCACAGACTTTAAACACCCCACCCTCTTCCATCCCCCCAGCCCATGAATACTTTAATTTAAACAAGACGAGGCATTTCAAAATTGAGACCTGCTCAGAGAAACCCTGCCGAGTTTCACAAATACAGAAGTTAACAGGAAAGAGTATTAACAGATTACAAAAACAAGAAAAAGTTACACCAGGAAAGACAACATTGTGGTTCCAGACCTCCCAATGCCACCGGCAACAGCTAAGAGATCTGTAGAAGTGTCTGTTGTTTTGGCAAACTTTGAGTCCCTTCAGGAGATTACTCTATGTACTCCCTTGCTATCAGGCTGCATATTTGCCCCACTGCTCCTAGTCCTGCGAGCTGGGCAAAGCCACCCTGCCAGCTCGGTTTATGGATATACTGATGGTTTTGGGGGGCTGGAATGTTTTAGGATGGTATCGGTTTGTTTGGGAGAGTCTCTCCTTGAGTCCATGAGTTCACTCCTGAAGCAGGCCGAAAGGAGACTGTAGAGAAGGAACCAGAGAAAAGAAGAGATGAATTTATAGAACCCTTCATCAGACACCAAGAGAGAAACAGCCACTTTCCAACCTTCATGATCACAGTATGGCCGTGACAGAGGGAACAAGCAGATGTCTTTGCACCTACAGCGAGGGCATGCAACAGGCAGATTTAGAAAGCTGGAAAGCCCCAGATACAAGCAAGTGCTTGGCAAGGAAGAAAACAACTATTTGATATGGAAATCAGATTTCTGTGTCCCAGTCTCATGGGTGCAAACAGTGCTCTGATACTGTTCCCAGCAGCTCTTGATGGGCTGGAGAAATATGAGAAGAAAAAAGCACTCAGCCAAATAGGAAGAAGAGACAAGCAGCTTCCACCAAGTTCATTTCAAACTTCAGTTACTTGAAAAACAGACGCTGGTACTAGGAAGAGAGGATTGTGCCTACTGTGAAAGGGCTGTAGTGATTATTTCTCCAGTACTCCCTCTTTCAAACCAAGGGACTCTCTGCACTGAAGATGAAGGGTCCCTGGGGCTGCCAGCTAACACAAAGGCAATGCACCCTCAGAGCCAGCAAAGCAAGCACTGCATGTCTTCATGTGCCTAATCCCACACTTGTATTCTAACTTTAATCTTGCTAATTCTCTAGCGAGATACAGAAATACCAAAAACTTGCTATCCAAGTGCCTCGAGTTCACAACACATGCCAACACAGCACTACAAAAACAAACCAAGCCATGCAAAAATCCAGTAGAGCTTCCATACCAAGACAGAGAACAACCAGGTGGAGGTATGAAGAACACCTTCCCTGCTGGCCTCCTCCCTGCCATGGTAAGCGCCAGACTCCTTGCAGTTCCCGTCTCAGCTGGAGCACACGAGGCACTGGATAGCTCTGCTTTGTCACACCTCACTTATGAGGTTAATCCCTTCTCTTTTGGGGAATGAGTTGTGCTGCTCACTAGATTGAAAGGCAGCCAGTAGGTTGGTAGCTGCAGCCCCACTAACACGAAAGAAATATTTACTAAGGCTGTAAGAGCATGCTGGGATGTAAGAGCTGTTCTTAGTTGGCGTTGGAAGATTTCACAAATTCCCTTCTATCATGTTATTACGCATTCAAATACAGGCTGTTCTGAAAACAGTGCTCAAAAGGGTAAAACCCTTTTTTGTTGAATATAAAGTAGTGTTCTCCAATAAAACCTTGGAGACTGGGTAGTTATTCCTTGAGAATATTGACAGTGTATTTCACAGTAGAAGATTGAAAAAACTTCCCCTCCCCATGAAAGCGTGGGCCACCTCTGGTATCTCTGAAAACAGGAATTTTCTGGTGTTTAAAACCTTTCTGTCAAGTATTCACCAGTGGCAGACCTTGAAAATGAAGCTTTCTAAATAAATGTGCTGCTCTTCAAATATGGGCCCCAGGATTTGGCAGTGAAAAAGGAAGAACAGAAACTGCAGCAAAAAAAAAATAAAACAACAAAACACCTTCCCACCTATGATCATGAAGGTATTTGGCATAACAGTAAATAAGAGAAAACCATGCACAAAAAAGCAAACAGAGAGAGGAGATGAGACAGAGAAAGATGTGGTTTGGAGCAATGTGGAGCACTGCAGTGTTTTTGATCATCTTGCGGGACGTGGATTGTCACCAGATTTGTCCTTTGTATTCCAGAACTGCAAGACAGCTTTATCTGTTGGCCTGTCAAACACAATGCTGCTCTGTTTGTGCCTGAGAGCTATTATACTTTTAAAAAATCTGGTCTAGAGGAAATAAATTACCTTTCACCATGATAATATCATCCCTTATTTTTTCTACTCTTTAAAAAAAAAAACGCACATGTGGTTAGCTAAACCTGCTTGCACACGATTGCTCTTATGCAAGCCAGTTCCTACAAAGTACTTTCTCTCCCCATTCTTACAGCAAGATCTCAATTTTTTTTTTTTTTTTGGGGGGGTCGGGGGGGGTTGTACAATCATATCTATCGAGTTTCTTCAGACAAATTTCCCTTTGCCCTCAACACATTCTTTCAGAATTAAATATGTATGATAGATCATTGAGGCAAAAGTACCAGAACCCACATGCACCTAGGAAGCTGATGCTTGAACATGCATTTCAGCATGGAGGACCCTACTTGATGGCAAGCTGTCAGCAGAGAAAACTATTGTAACCCTGAACAGACAATGAAAAATTTTTTTCACCCCACTCCCAGCATCCTTAAAAGCTCTTAATCTTTCTCTCCAGTATCCCAGCACACTCAGCAGCTGAGAAAAATGAGTACATAACTGGACAAGTGCCAGGAGACATGCCAAAAGAAGTTTCATTAAATTAAATGGCTGGACTCATGCACGCTGGTCTTAAAGGTAACACAAATACCAATTTCAGTTGCCAGGAACCCATCCTATTGATATAAGAAGAATGAAAACAGTAATTATGGCAAAGCAACTGTCACCACCAAATGAAAGCTGTCATCTGCTGCCGCCCGTTTCTGCTTACAGAACCATTTCTCAGTGGAAATGGCTGTAGTTCAGGTGGAGCTTTGAAGACATGCAGCTGAGTGCACAAAGGCCACAATGCCTAGCAGCTAGTAAATACATGTTACAGTACATACAAACAGCTCAGACAACCGAATTTTACTTTATTACTTTTAAAAAGCATCTCAAAAATTGCCCAGAGCCCCTGGATGCTCCAGCCATTTCAGCACAAGGCTTTAACATCTCTGCAAGACTACAGCTGACACTAAGAACACAGGTCAAAATGTGAACATATGCAGAGATCTGGCACAAAGCCGTGGTATTGCAGAAGTCCTGAGACAAGGCCAAGGCACCAAAATAAATCCCTACAGGCTCAAATGGGACTTATGTGGTGCCTTGGCCTTGTGCTAACCTCTGCAAAGGAATGAGTTTTACCCGCAGCCTCTTGACGCGTGAGCTTACCAGCAGGAACGCGTGAGATGCTAAGCACTACCGCTGGCGGCTACCTACAGCCTCGACGGCTACTTGCTGTCACCCGATACAGCAGGTGAAGCAAGGCCCATGAATGACACTGCTTACGGTCTGTCTGGGAAGTCACTCTCTGAACCAGCCTCTGCAACTGTAAAGCATTAGGAACAGAGAGGAAAATGGAAACCGGACACTTATTTGGCCCTTCTTCTCCCCATCCTCCTGCCACTTACACCACCCAAAGTAATCCTTGCATAGCCCTGCCAGCCAAGTTCAGACAGGGACTATGTCTGCCTGAATGTGAAGTTTCTTACACACAGTGTGGAGAGTCAGTGACAAAGTACATTTTTTTGTTTAAAAACACTTCAAAAGTGCACACAAATAACCTTTTTTTGAAGTGCTCATTGTCTAGAAAGCAACTTGTTAAATGTTTTACCTTCAATTGTGATTTTCAGCTTCCACTTTTATAGCTCAGGAACCTACAGAATTTACATTCCACTGAAAGACAGACACAGACACCAGCCCTCCAACATCAGCAGTGCAGCAGTATGGTCTGAGCACTTGGCCAGACTGGTGCTCACAGTCCCAACCCTGTGTGCTTCTACAAAATGCTTTGTGAATTCCCCTGAGGAGACATGGAAAGGACTTCCACATTCATTGCTGGTTCTCACAAAGAAGATGGGAGAACAGCACAGACCACCTTATGTTTCCCAGCTTGGTCGTGCACATGTATCGGATAGAGATGGACCTGCAATCAGTCAGGGCCTGCACTTGGGGAAGGACTGCTTTGCCCCACTGCACAGACAGGCAGGTAGGTTGCAAAACCTGGATTTCAAACTCAATCTCTCAGGTTCTGGTCCAGAAATTTGGCTTGTCCAAATTCCTGGCATTGATTTCCATCAGCTCCGAACACAGGGTTAACAAGCAGTTCCATACTGTTGGAAAAGATTTTTCCAGTGTAGTACGCTAGGAGTGCTTAGCCCTTGGTTAAGCACTTTATCCCTATAAACCATTGCACAGAAGCCTTCTGTGTCTCTCTCCTCTCTCCCCGTTCCCCATCATCCTTACTGCAGAGGTCACTGCAAACACACCCATACTCACTGCTTCTGGAGCAAGTGCTGGTGCTGCTGTTGCTGCTGCTGCCGGTAAGTCTCAATCGTGTGCTGGGGAAGGTACTGCATAAGTTCCAGGGACTCTTTGATCTTTAGTAGCATTTCATATGTTTCTCTTCCCCTCACCTGGATCACAGGGAAAAGAGTGAAAAAAACCTTGAAGGACTGCATCTAGAGTGACAGCCATCTTTGAGTTGTAGATTAAGTAAACAACCAGTGCAGAATGCAAATACTGTTTATACTCAATGCATAAACAGTAAACCCGCTAAGCCTGGTGCTAGAAGTACAGCAGATAAACGTTGAAGAGCTGATAATCTGACACCTCAGGCTAGTGAACGTTTTGGGGTTATCATCTAGCTTGATGTAAACCTACACTAACCATAAATATTATTTTGGTCCAATCTATTAGACAAAAAAAAAAATATTTACCTGCCTCAATCTGGGGATAAACCTTACGTGCTTTACAGAAAAAGAGTAAGGAGTTTGGCTGGTGGGTTTGGTTCTCCCTTCTCCCTTAAGGGCACCATGGGGTTTCCAATTTAACTCACATAAACATGGTCTCTGGGCAAAGCAGTTCAACAGAAAGTTAGAGATCATGCTTGCCCGTTCAGTTCTTACAATTAATAGAGAGTATTTCGCTTCTATCACTCCAGCACAAGGGCAGCACATATAAAAGGCACAGTAGCATCCATCTTTGTCAGCAAAAAAAGCAGAATTCAGCACATAATTCCTACAGAAAGCTCAGGAGCCACAGATTCAAAAGTATCTCAATACTCAGTCAACACCTCCAAGACCATGATCCTACCAGGACAGACAAGTCCTTTGGGATATTCTTATATACCTTGCACGAGCCAGACTCAGGTCAGCAAACAATGGAATTTCCTTCCACATTTTTTGTTTAGAACATGCATTTAAAATAGATATCTCTGGGGAAATGAAAGTATTTCACATACCAGTTCTAGATGCTAAACATAGTTCTCTAAGGTCTAGATGAGCAGCCAAGTTGCCTCAGATCACTAAGGAAGATACTAAACAGAGCAAAAGCAAAGATGGAGAAAACTCACTGGTAAGTATAAGAGCTCATCATCTGGAGAACGTCTTTTTTTGATAGATGTCATCTGTATGCCATGAGTTCCTTGTCGAAAAGCTGAAAGAAACACAAAAAACATCCCATTAGACAAAGAAAAATAGAAAAAAGGAAAAAAGGAAAAGAAGAGATATATACAAGAGACATCAAGTGTATGGCTAGTGCTTATGAGCTGTCAGTGGATTGGTGATCCACGACAGCACAGCAAAACAAAATGAGCACAAAGAATCCACTGCAGAAGTTAAGACCTCCAATTTGCCTCCTGTTAAAGTATGCCTCTTCGCTAAGCAGCCAAGTGCCATCACTGAGCATATGTGGAAAACCAAAGTTGAGTTTCTACCCCTGGTGCATCTGATGATTGTATTCCATGGAGCAGAGAAATGCCAAAGCACCTTAATCACACAGCAGGGTTTACATTGAGCCTTCATATAGATCCCTGCAACTGGGAAGACATGCCACAGCAGGAGACACTGGCCAGAATGAGCAGGGAATGACAGCACGGCCCCAAGCAAGCAGTAAAGGTTCAAAAGCGGTTGGCAGGCCATCCAAGTACCTTGAGGCTATCAGATAAACACGTCCCCAACACTGGTAGTGCTGGCTGGAACAGGTAACTACTACAGGCAGCACTGCGAGGGATCCTACAAACCCAGACTGTCAAACATGCACAGATGCTGTGCGCATCTGACAAACACCTAACACCCTCCTGCCTCCGAGTCCACACACAGGAGTGCTCTGTCCCCATGGCACAAGTGCCAGGGTTGCACCTGCACTTGGTGACAGCACGATCTGCAATCTGCCCAGCTCTGCCAGCTACTTACGGCGCTTCGTACCATCACCATTCTTTGTGCTGTCAGAGACTTGCTGCTTGCGGATGCTGTCCTCGTCTGCTTTGCGATCTCTGCCTGGGCAAGCGCAAATGCGGGCTTCAAAACATCGGCGGCCCAAGACTTGCCCACTGCGAAGAAAGGTGAAAGAAGAAACATCAACTGATGGCTCAGACACTGGCCAGCAGCACCCCTCACACCCTGACAACAGGCCAAGCTCACAAGCTAGTTACCTACCCCTGCTTTACCCCTCCACCCCAGAACTAACACGTCCCATCCACTGACAGCTCATCTTAGACGTGTCCAGTAAATAATACATGGATTCACTGGAAGTCGTAGAAAAAATAAGAGAAGAAATCCACATCATCTATTCACAATGATCCAGCTGTTAACTCAGACTCCTATTTTGAGCTTCTTAAATGGTACCAATGTATGCAGGGGAGGGGTGACACCTCAGTCAGAGACCTGGAGGAATCAGAATCATTTAGGTTGGAAAATACCTTCAAGATCATCAAATCCAATCATCAACCTGACCTAAATCTAACATGATTAGCCAGAATAGTTACTACCTGCTTTATTTTTTCTCTAAGTTTGACCACTGGTCTCTACCCTCTTCCTTACATTTGGAGAGATTTGCCACATTAGAGCAAGGGCATGAAAGCACTCTGCTCAGTAGACATAGAAACAGGGTACCTAGCTATTTGCAGGTAGGGGCTAGGTATACTCCTAAGAGTTAAGAACTTCTATGCATCAAAACTCCTCATCTGCAAAAACACTCATCATTTACTCCAGGTAAGAATGCAGTAAGGACAGAGTCCAAATGATTTGGAACAGACTGTGCAGACAGACCCAAACTTCCCACTCCCTAGTCAGAATGTCCCTGGTGTTACAGGCAGGAGTTGCCCAAAAATGTGGACACTGTCCCCTAAGAATCTTGCAACGCTGTCCTGAGCAAAAGAAGAACCAGAAAACCACCTCACAGGCAAAGGGCTGTATTTGTGACACAGTACTTACTCTCTAGTTTCCAGTGTGACGATGATGAGGATTGGGCGACGGTTCATCCCTCCTACGCAGCTACTGTTACACATGAAGTTGTACAAGACTGTTGTGAACTCTGTACCAACCTAGATGAGACAGAAGGGATGAGCAGAAGAGATGGTGGATGGAAAGCTCTGCTTTTTGCAAGGTATCCCTCTGAAAATCCTTTCCACTCCCATGGCTATACTATAACCAGGCTATCAGAAAACTTTACCCACCACAAGACTTCCTTAAAAAAAAGTGAGGAACTCCATCTCTCAAGGGATGAAGGTATTTAAAATACCATTTCTGATAAAGAGGAATTCAACCTGATGAGGATAGGGCAAGTGCGTGACCTTGTCTCCTTTGCCTACTGTTAAGGCCCCAACCCTTTCACATGTCAGGATGCCCCCACCCTGAGCTCACAACGTACCTGAGGTGGCTCATATGGGACCAGCACGCTCTGTCTCCCGGTGATGGGGTCTTCTACGTACTGGGCATGGCTGTTCCCTTCCACCCTGATCAGGTGGCTGGGAGGCGCAATCTGCCCTGCAAGGACAAGGAGACAAAACCAAGACATTGTTTGGTGATGCAAGCTCAAGTGCAGGGCAGCAGGATCTTCCAACCCAGGGGAACCCCACGTCTGGTCGCAGAGGTCTATCACAGCACATGTGCCTCCCAGCCCTTAAAGCATCTCTTTCCATGGTTCCAACTGCCAGACAAAGGCTATATAGACTTCCTCAAGCTCACACTAGATGCCTGCGAGCAAACTTGAACATGGATTTCCCAAGATCCCAAACTAAACAAGCCCAAACATCAACTGAATGGCAGCTCAAGGCAGCTCTTCCAGCAGGTAACTGGATTTTTGCAGCAGCTGAAAGCCTTCTCCTCCCCCACCCCCAAAGTGTACATGAAACCAATTCCTTCAGGTCTCAACTCCTAGTTCTTTCCAAACAGTTAACCCTCTTCTGTTCCTGCCCATCAGTATCAATCCTAAGGAGTTTAAAAAGATAGAAGCAGGAAAAAAAAAACAACAAAAAAAACTTTAATTAATGTGGTCAGCTTGAAAAATCATGCTTGCTTACAGCAGTAGAGGGCAAGGAACATGATCATCTTTGTTTCTAGGCCCCTTTCCAATAGTTCAAAAAAGTTTCCTTCCTGCAAGTTTACTTTAGTGTTTCTATAACATGAATTCTGAAGAACAAAGCCTGTTTTAGGTTTATCTAAATGATTCATTTTGTGTTTGAACTGTTTATTTCTTAAAATACAGCATATTCAGACATATTTTTTTCAAAATAAGAATTCATAGTCTTTAAGAATTCGTAGTTTTAATCCCTCCTCCCCTTCTTTAAAACTGTCACTTAACCAAGTATCAACTCAAAAAAAATCCAGTTCTGTTGGAAAAGCACTTTCTAACAGAAAAAAAACGTGTTTCAAAACACTGTCTCACTTCATGCTGATTTTCAGATCTCAAGTCCTTGCTTGTTTTGGGACCTGTCTCACTGGCTGCACTGTAACTAGCCAAGGGAGCTAGACTCCCAAGACATGCTGCTAACACTTTTTTTTTTACAGTAGGAGACAAATAATGTATGTAGAATAAAACAGATGCTCATCTGAACTTATGTGAACTTCAGCAGCCAAGGCAAAATGGAGCCCAGCCCATGAGTTTGCAGAAAATCCCAAGACATTTTCAAAACAGCTGCTACTTCGCTAATATGAGAAGAAGCGAGTAAAAGATTAGAACATTAATACTGAACTGATAGTGTTAAGCGTAGAGGAAGGTTGCCTGCAGTTGATGCTGGCACTTAATGCTATCCTACTAGAGATAAACAGCCCCTTCGTCTTTGAGGTGCGGATTAAGGACTGGAGATGATATTGCATCCTGTTACTAGATCCCTGCCCCAGCGACATGGAAGCTCATTCCTGAGCGCAAAAGCAGCTGCTTCTCAAAGGAGCCCAAGCAGAGTGGGGAAAAGCTGCCAGAAGGGCACTGGCTGCTGTAGGGACAGACATCCATCCAACCTGGGCAGGCATGAGGTTTATTTTGGTATTTTCTTCCCAAGTACGTGCTCACACAGGAATAGCTAAAGCATAGCACAAAGCTTCCTGCTAAGCACAGCAGCAAAAAAGCTACAAGAAACATTGCAAGGAGGTCTGCTGCCAACAGACTGGCAGCGACACTGCTGCAAAACCCCATACTGACATTCTCCAAAGCATTGCCCTCCTTACCCTCGTTGAACTCCCGGCTCAGCTCGTGGTTCGGGCAGCGTTTGACCACTTCAGTGACGTGTTCGGCTTTCTTGTAGACTGGCATAGCCCGGATGACGGCTCCCTGGGGTGGTGGGGTCAGCACTTTGATCTGAATGGGACATGTCTTGGCGATCTGGCAGTACAGCTTTTTCAGTTCGGTGGAGTACTGAATGGGGGAAAAGAGCAAGAGAGTCAGGACATTCAGCTAGGGGTGGAGGCACACCAAAGAGATGGAGATGGGTTTATGCACACAGCTGAATGTACCTGCTATTCCATAGGCATTGCATTTGTTCAGAGAAGAGCCACACAGCCAGACAAATGGCAAAAACAGACCTTTACTTGTTTTAGAATAGTGGAATGTAAGACTAACACCTAGTTTTCCCAAAGGCAAAAATATTCAGCAAGAGCACTGCTATTATGTGATCAAATACAATCTTTATTTCTCTTGTGCATCCCTTGAAGGAGGGGGGGGGGGTGCACATTACCCACCTAACAAAGTGGAAAATATTCTTTTCACAACAGCCTGTAATCCTGGAAAGGCTGAAAACCACATGAAATGTTTCATCCTGTTTTGTAAGAAAAAACTCTTGTTTTTGAGAACAGTAAAAACCATGAACGCTGGAACTGAACACTATTTGAGAGCAAGACCCTGACCAAGCTGAGAGTTGTGCCACATCTGATATTTGTTATCTTTTTTTTTTTTTATTTTTAAAAAGTCTCTCATACCTCTGCTGATCATCTCTGTATCAGCATCCCCACTTTAAAATCTGAGCACAAAGTAGCAGGGGGAAAAATAAAGAGATATCAAAGCTCTGGATAGCAAAACAACCCCAAAAGTTGGTCTACAATGGAACCTGAAGCACAATCCAGAAGCTGGCTCCAAAATGGAGGCAGCCACCATCCTGGTGTGTGCAACAGACACCCGGAACAGAGCAAGAAGCTCCTATTCACTGTGTTAGTTCAGAGCATGTTAGGTTCCCTCTTCCAGGACATTCTGCTCCAGTGTGCTGGCACAGCATTTCCCTCAACTGTGTTCACATCTGGAAACCTTTACTCAGCAAAACGTCACGGCATAGGCTAAAGTCACTGGTTTATTTTTTTTTAAAGCCCTTGCTGAAATAAGAATATGCATTTAGCAGGAATAGTCACAAGGACACTTTGGACAGATACTCGGTGAGGTTGTGATAGGACAAGGGGAAAGGTTTTGACAAGGGGAAAGGGTTTGGTTTTAAACTAGAAGAAGGGAGATTTAGATTAGAGGTTAGGAAGAAATTCCTCACTCAGAGGGTGATGAGGCACTGGAACAGTTTGCCCAGAGAAGTCGTGGATGCCCCATCCCTAGAGGTGTTCAAGGCCAGGCTGGATGAGGCCCTGGGCAACCTGGTCCATGGCAGGGGGTTAGAACTGTATGGGCTTTAAGGTCCCTTCCAATCCACACCGTTCTGCGACTCTATGAAACCCATGTTTCCACAGTATGCCACAGTCCAAATCCTTTTTTTCTGAATTTCCCTGTGAAAGGGACTCTCCAGTCTCTTCTGCTGATCCAAAGTAAGGCAGTTTTTGCTGATACCCCAATACAGAGCAATTCGTTATTTTTTCCTTGGTGTTCAGACACTCGCGAGTGCAGAGCTCTCCCAATAACTAAGCATGTAACCCACAGGAATTGCTGGCATTTCCCTACTTCCATCTCTTTGGTTCCTGCAGAGAAAGAAAAGTGAAAGCCCCAAGGTGGTTGTTTTATTGAAAACGTCTCCAGCAGCTGTGGCTGATAGAGCCCTGGTCCCAACTGTTCAAACAGAGCACCAACAGGTTCATACAGGTCGGGAGCACAAGTTGGCCATCCACCCTGCTGGGATGGGAAGAGCTGGCGCATGCATGGGTGGGTGGTGGGTGACGTGGCAACAGAAGGATTAGCTAGCGATATTCAGAGATTATTTGCATTTCAAAGTGTACACATTGCTAACACAGGAAAACCAAAGCTGGGAGAGACACTGGGGAGGAGAGGGGGGATTAAAAATAAGACAGGCTGGCCCCTTCCCTGCTCGCTCAATGCCATCCTGCCACATGGCAGAGGAGATGCTACAGGTATTTAACTCAAGGAAAAAAAAAATCTCTAAAATGCAAAGGCCAAGTTGTGCAATGTATTTTATGTGCCTGCAGGCTAGAGATTAAGCCCACAAAGGATTTACCCAGCCCGCGGAAATGGGGAACATGCCAAACAATTACAAAAAAAGTTGCGAAACACATCTAGATGGTGATTTATATCAGACATCTTTTTAACCTGAAATTCCTTATTGTTTTTTAATTAAAAAGCAATTCCTTACTAAAGGTAAGAGTGAGCTCACTATGTTGTCTTTTCATCTCCTGAGTAAGAAAAGAATCACATTTGAAAGAGGAAGAAAGTTTAGAAAGCATACATGGAAAGCCTGAAAAAGCCTCCGAACTGCTTGGATGTCTTACTGTCACTGAAGTGTAAAGAAACCGTGCACCCAAACGCAGTGGGCTGAAATGAAAGCATAAATATGGAAGTGTGATGGCTTGGCAAGGGCACAGCACACACACCAGGAGCAAACGTGTCTGGTGTCTACAAGCATTCAGAGAATTGAACAAATGGAAGGAGATACACCCCTGTCGTAAGCCCGGGTCAGGGACCAGAAGTAGTGGTGTTGACTAGAGTTTTACATCTCGTTTCTTCACCAGCATTACAAAAGAAGGGAAAATCACTGCTTCTAGAAGGACAGGAGAGGCACCCAACACCAGCAAAAACACACAGGCTCCAGGTCAACCAGCGTTACCCCTCCGCCAGCAAAGACTGGAATCTGCTCCCCTTCTATCTGCCCCCCAAGGGGCCCAACTGACGACCCCTTGAGCTACAACCAGCAGGGATGCACAGGGCCTGCAGCTTAAATTTACAGACAGAAAACAGCCAAGGGCTAATGGGTTACAAAGAACAGGCCTCTCCGATAACAGAAGAGATGTATGTTCCCAAAACACAGGGCTTCAGACCCCAGAGCTCTGGCTAACGCCAACTTGAGCCAGGCATGGCAGAGGAGGGTGAGCAGAAGGCCACCAAGCCCTGTGCTGCTCACCTTTGGGACACAGCTGGGTGCTGGGAGGCAACCAGCAGCAACCCACACAGAAAGACAAGGCAGGAGGTGAGAAGCCACCTTTGTTACACAACTGCAGGAGGAGTTCGTGTCTCCTGGGCGTTGCGCAGGGCTCGGGGCCGTGGCACACTGAGACTTGGCAGGGACTCCACCTCTACCCCAGCACAGCGGCCCACAAGCATGTAGTCCTCAAGAGGCCGGTCATTTAACACCGGTGTAAATCTGTCCACGGGGTACCTGCTGTCAGACAGTAAAGGGCTTGAGTTTCTCATCCTGCCAACTCCGCTGTGACCATGGGTAACCTGATGCCCAGTCATCTGCTGGCATAAATAGATGCCAACAACTAGGTCAGAGCGACTTGGTACTGGATCAGTGATAATCGCTATATCCACAGAGTAAGACAGGATATTGTATATAGATTTCAAAGCAAATAAGCATGAGAAAACCCCCGAGGCAGGAGCTGCCTGTGCATTCAGAGAAAGCCTGCAGGCAGAGGACCCCAAAACGCCCCACCTGGCAGGAGGTGACAGCCACCCTGCCCACCACTTTGCTACAGGAACTGACAGATGCTCACTGTGTGAGGGATAAGAGCACAAGATCAGCAACTCCCAGCAAGGATCACGAGACTGAGATTCAGTATTTTTATGCCAGCAGTGGGGGAGGAAGGAGAAGATCATTCTTTGAAAGACACTGATGTCAGAAAAGTCAAAGCAGAACCAACATTTTGCACAAATCCAGAGAGAGACCTGTCAAGAAACAAGTTGCTCTCAATTAGTAACTTTCAGGTGTAAATACTTGAAGTTCAGGCAGTTAACAAATCCAGAGCATGACTATTAACCAACAGACTTCTGCTACTTGCCTGAGTAGGGAAATTAATTAAGAGGAAAACTACTAAAAAGGAGCCTGACCTAAATCAACAAGCCTGTCATTTATGGAGATGACAACAGTCATTATGTAGCAGCAGGAAGGAAGGCTGTGCCAAAAGCCTGGGGAGCATGAACACCACTTCTACAAGACATACAGAGCAAAAAAGTTATTTCAAAACAAAAGAACGGAGCCTGGCACCACATTATCCGCTCAGGAGAGAGGTGGGGGGGGAAAAAGGTTTGGCTCCGATTCTTCCTTGGGGTTCAATTGCTGCAAGTCATGCCCAAATAAGCAGACTTCAAGAGATTGCTAAGAACAACAGCGAATTTAGCTTTTTGCTTAATAATATGTTTTAAAAGGAAAGAAGAAAACATTCCAGCGCCTGCAGCCCTGCCCTCCCCACCTGCCTGTGCAGACATACTGTATTACCCACTCTTGGCACCCCGGCTGGTAATTCAGTATCACAATGCACACACGCCAGCTACCATCAGGCAACACCTGTCTGATTTTTCAGCAAGCCCCTTCTCTGGAAGGTGTGTCAAAGGGTTTAAGGGAGAAAACAAAACACACTTCACTCCTCAAATGGAGAATTTTCACTACAACGACAGACGTCTCCTGGAAGCGAGTGCTTTGTGCAAGACAAACCGAAATGGCTTTTCACTGAGCATTCAATTCCCCTGCAAAACTCTGATGTAGCAAAATCCCCCAAACACTGCTTTGGAAATCTACCTCTAGAATCTGCCTTACCATCTGATCCAGCCAAGGGATTACAGCCCTTAAGTCTTTAAAAGGAGTGGGGTTCAAGCAGCTCTGCAAAGGCTGACGAATGTCAACTTGAAGGTGATCCCAGAGGCTGGCTTATGGTGTGACAGCCCTGAGCCCCTTCTGCTCAGATCAACGGGTCTTTCAAATCTCTCGCAAGCTTCTTTCAAGAAGTCACGTTTTAGTTCAACTCAGTTAAACACCAGAGTCATTTTACCTGACATTTTCAAAGCCAGCGGACAGCTGTGATTTCTCCACTAACAAACTAGCTTTGAGAAAGGAAAAAAGAATGGGTTGGAAGAATGAGAAAGCAACATTTACTTATGCTGACGTACTCACAGATGAGAACAAAGAGCCATGAAAAATAGAAAACCTAAGACAGGGCAACATTAATTCATTTAGGACAAAACACAAAAAGAGTAGGAAAAAA